GATGCTCAGCACTATCCCCGCTTCGCCATTGGCTGGTTACGAAGAAGTCACAATCTTCCCCATCCGCCTATATCATACTACTCCTTAATATGTTCCCCCCTCCCGCTCATACATCCCATGTCCATGCTAATGAGCCTATTATCTATGAGAGGTGTGTCATTTACTATTCATAAACTTATTACGCATGCATAGTACCTTCTAAGAGGTCAACAGGCCGAAGTGGTCTTGAAAATTCTAACTTGACGCCAAAATGTTTCTTGTGGGGAGGATGAGACAATGAGAACAGGCCTTTATTCATTCTAAAAGATACAGATTCTACACTTAAGAAAGAACAATCCTTCACTCATATTTTAAAAGATACAGACTTTACACTTCCCACACACATGTAATTACAATGATAGATAAGTGCCATATGCAGTGTCATTTTTGGACTGTCTGACAATGCTTGGTTGTAGTACATTGACCAGTCAAGTTGACAAGATTTGTTGATTAACTGGCCAACATGCCAATTCTTCGAAAATTAACATTTCTATGCCATTGAGATATGATAAATCCCTTTCCACATGTATGCTTTTTCTAAACAGGAAATAAATCTATCAAGGATAGGTCTTGTAGATTTATTCTATAAACACAAACTGGGTTTGAAGCTGTATAAAGCTGTTACTCAGTCAAGAGGACAAGAGATTTCAAATGAAAAATTCTCAGCAACTCCACCAAACAATAACACCCAAGATTCATGAGGACTCCATGTTAAATTTGTCTAAAATGGCTGACACATTTTACAGTATAGAGTTGATCATTAATTAGCCCCTCTTAATGCATTATTATGCCTCCATGAAGTGATGTGCTCTTGAAGCACTGACTATTAAACAGAACACAGAGTACATTTTTGTTTGGTTGGTTTTCATTTCTTAAAACACTTATAGTCTGTATACACATATACAGCATGATTATCCTGTTGCCTCTTGGAGGAACTAGTTTGCACATGAACTTGCTTCCAAAATAAAACTGATATAAAAAAGGAATTTTAAAAACAGTAAATCAAGAAGTGCATGAAAAATCCAACCAAGATTAATTTGTGTGTTGATTATTCTCTTCAACTGGGAACTAAACTATAATAGCAAATTCCAAACATTCTGTATTTTTGAGCCTATGCAAACAGGCTCCCCTGGAGTGAATTCTCTTGCCCTCATATTGTGTGGCTGTTTGCATAATCCTGTGAAGTGGTCAGGAAGATTGATGGGTTGTTTGCCAAGAAAGGAATAATTCCTGACATTGGAAAACTAGGCTGGATTTTCCAGTCTAAGAACCTACAACTGGAGTTCCACCCATTCCATTTGACTGCTCATATCCATTTTTTTTCTAAGTGAAAATCATGTTTATTGATTTATTTGCACAACAACAACCACATGGCAGCTTTTCTCATGCTGGTGTATCCTGAGGACAACTCCCAGCATTCCCAGCCACTGGCAATGCTGGCTCAGGCTGGTTCTAAAGTTCAGAACATCAGGGTGCTACAGGAGGTACCCTTAGTTTAATCATATATATCTTCTATTCCTGAGGCCATTTCACACACTGCTTCCTATGCAATCCTATAGGAAGCTATGGCCTATCCTACACATATCCATACAATGCAGTAGACATGTTTGTGGGCACATTCATATGATAGCGTTACCAAGAATGCCCCCTTTCACTCCACTTAGGCTAAACCAAGGAAGACCACTTAGCCAGAGAGCCGCAGTCATGTTGTATATCCTGTCCAGCAGGGAGGAGGGGGGAACGGAGAGTTGTGAACCCTGTGTGAACTCCTGTGACAGACCAACTGGATGTCCAAGAGGGCAAGTGGGGAGAACCCTTGGCGCCTGGGACCGGTTGGGATCTCAATAAAAGTAGCAAAATACATTAAGCGGGTGTGAATTGTTTGGAGATAATTAACAGAACAAAGTACACTAGGTAACTGGATTAACTTTGTCTCTGGACATCATGTTTGTGAAAGGGAGTCCTTGGAAGAATAAAGAGCTTTTCTGTTAGCCAACAAACAGAACAAAGAATAATAGGTGAATATATTAACTTTGTATCCAGGCATAGTGTTTGTGATGCTGGGTATATAATGTATGTTCTCTGTACCTCTTAGGAGACTTTGATTTGGGAAGCATCTCCCCTCTGTCTCCCTTTATTCTATAGTGCACTAGAATAAAACTGGTTTTGGCTCTAAGTCTTGTCTCAGGCTCTGTTTGGCTTGGTGTCTGGTGCCCACCCGGGTTGTCCCTAGCTGTTGACCAGCTGAGTTCAGTAACAATTTCTGGCACCCAGTGTGGGGCAACCAACTGGACTAAAAGTGAATTTTGCCCCAAAATTCTTAACCCTTCTCCCTTAAAGAACCTCTTTTCAGACGGGTGGACGGCTGGCTTAGAATGCTCTCCCCCAGCCTTTGGGCTGAGGCAAATTTGGCTGGGAACCTCCACTAGCCATGAGCAGGGCTTGAGGAAAGGTGACTGAGAGAAAAATGAGAGAGCTAACCCCCGACAAAACAAGGAGTTCCCTGGTAAGGAGAAAGCCTCTGTTGGAAAGTTCAGCTACCTGGGAGAAGACCCAGTTCCTAAAAGAAAGGGAGGGCCTCCACAGTTAGAGTCTGGCAAGCTGCCCTTCCCTGCCTGACAGCAGGTGACTCTCGAGTAGAGTTGAACTCTATGGGAAGAGGCTAGTGGAGAGGAACTACTTGGATGGAGGGGGTTTTTTGGAAACCCTTGTTGAAGGTACAGGTAAAACAAAATCTGATCAGAATCCAGTCCTGGTTTGAGTCCGGAGAAGCAGATCCCACTTAAGTGCATGAGCACTTTTGACCAGGTACACCTGGCAGAATTGACAGAAGGAAAATCAGAGAGGTCTGCTGAAATCCTTCTAAAGGTCTTCTGGGGGATGCTCAGCGCATCATGGGTCAGGGTGAGTCAATACCAATGCATACCCCTCTGGGTTGTCCTTTGGGAAACTGGGAAAGTTTCAAAGGAGATTCCATCTCAAAAAACTAAATGTCTACTGTAATTCTATTTGGCTCCAGCATCAATTGGACAGTGGGGCAAAATGGCCACCTGGAGGGTCTATCAATTTTCAGAGTCTCCAACAGTTGCAACTTTACTTTCAACATACTGGTAAATAGCTAGAGTTGCTACACAAGCGTTTGTTACATTGACAGTCTGAACTTGCTGGAAAAGTGCAGATTGGTCCCCACTGGGGAGTATGGAGAAGAGAAGTAGGAGAGTAGAACCCACTCTGCCCTCCAAAAGCTGGCAGCACAGCATGGGTATGGGCTTGGGTGGAGGTGGGGGAGCTCTGAGGATTCTGCCACCGTGCCTGGGTGCAGTGGTGGCTTTCATGGCCAGAAAGGCATGAATGGGCAGTTGAATCCTAGCCCAATGGCTGCAGTTAGGAATCACCTTCAAAATGGCTACCTTTAGGACCCAGGGAGAAAAGAAAGAAAGGGTTTCTCAAGCTAGCAAGTTGCTCCCTCACTCTGAGGGAGACAGCTCAGCTTGCCATGAGGACTCTGTCCATCTGTGCTTCAATTAGCTACTCTTGAGAAAGCCATAGACCAGCCAGTCTCATTGTTTGAGGTCTGGGGTAGTCAAGAAGCTTGAGATTCGGTGTTTAAACTCTCAGTTTGTAATCAGTGCTGCTACCCACTTTCCTCTTCCTCTTTGTATGTCTGCTTGTCTGTGCGTGTGGCTCTTTTAAGATCCCTCCACTTCTTTCTGTTTTTGTTTTGCTCAATCAAGTTTTGTTTCCCCAGCGCTTGGGTGCCTGTGCATTAAGCATTGTGTACAACTTCTTGAGAATGTTGGGGAAGGTTCAGAAAGTGCATGCTAGGAAGAAGAAGAAACGGAGGAGAGGTAACCTGGTCTAAGCTAAAGTGTTTTGAACTTGCTCAGGTTAAAAAAAAAAACCTTGGAAATTTGAATGGTTGTGTTTAGCAATCAACCTGAACAGTGGCAGGCTGGAGTTCAACAGAGTGAATATTGCATCTGGAGGCAGTGAAAGAGGGAAAGCAGGGTGGCAGGCCCTGTGGACAGTAGCAGCTCTGGGCGCAGACCTTGCATTTTCCCTCACACACAAGGACTGCTGTTAGAAGTCCACCTTGTCAGGCAGGTAATAAATATATTCTTGGTTTTAATCTGGGCTAGTTGGGTTTCTCTCCCTATTGAACATGCAAGTATTTGGAATGTGGGGTTAGAGTGAAAGGCAAAAGGGAAATTTTGCTGGATGTTGTGTATGTGCCATGTGAGAATGAGAGTATGTAAGATTTGGCAGGAATTTCTTGCTTTAAGGGGGTGCATGGTGCTTGGTGTGTGAGAGGGCGTTTAAGAGTTTTAGTAGTAGTAGTAGTAGTAGTTGTAGTAGTTTATTATTATTTATAGCATTTTTATGTCGCCCCCATCGCAGAAAGCCTCAGGGCGGCTTACAAAGAGATAGACAACATAAAATAACATTAAAAGTTTTGATAAATGGTGATTGAGTGCTTTGGTACAGGATGGAAAAAAATGTGCAAGGAATGCAACTGCTAGTTTTTCATAGAATTACAAAATGGAGGAGCTGGAAGGGGCCATGAAAGCCATCGAGTCCAACCCCCTGCTGTTGCAGGACACCATATTACACACTTTTCATTTGGGAAAAGAGAAGAAAAGAGAAACAAGAAAGAGGGTTGGTTTACCTTGTTTGCAAAGAGCATCTTGTTATTTAGAGATAAAAACTGTAGCCTTTTTGTTTTAATTGTTTGTGTTAGCCATCAGGAGTTTTCATTTCTCCTGTGTAGTGTGGGTCTAAAAAAAAAAGGGGGAATGTGTTCTGATTTCTGAGTATATAATCTTGTTGCTGTGCCACAACTGAATGATTGGAGGGTAATGGATGAAACTGGGGCTGTGTGTGTGTGCACGCGCACGTGCATGTGTGCACAGTGGGGGAGGGTTTTCTTTTCTCAAAAACAATCCCAATGAGGCTACTTTAACCTGTGGGTTCAACAACAGGTTTGTTCCCTTTTCCTTTTTGCAATGTTGCCAAATATTTTTGATTAGGCCCCAAATTTCACAAGGAAAGGGATCTGTGGGGTGTGTTTTGCACCAACAATAAAGGAAAAATTAATTGATGGTGCTAAAGAGAATTTTCCTTACAGTAGCCTGATGTTTGTTGGGGGCTGAGCCCATCTGCTAGCCCAAGGATGTGAGCAGCTAAAAAGGCAAAGGCAAAATACTTTTCTAGATTTGTTTTTCCTGTAAGCATAAGCATTCATGTTCATCAAAATGCACAAGCATTGATTGTTTGGTTGAAAAGGGTGCTAGTTCAGGTTTACATGTATTCACAATGGATTTGGGACATTTTTGTATCTATGTATGTGGGGGAGTACCATCTCTGTGCATAAGAAATTGTGTGATACCATGTTCTCATTGTACAAACTCCATCAGAAGGCACATTTTGCTTTAGCCAAGGCAAGCAATAGGTTTGTGAAACACACAAGTTCAACAAAGGGTTTCTCTTGTGTGCATTTTTGTATTGAACTGTTATAATTAATTAATTAATTAATATTGGTTGGATTTGGTTTCAACATCTCAAACATTTTTCTGGAGACTGTGCTGAACAGACTTGGGACCAGGCTTGAAAAGGACAAGGATTTCTCAACTTTCTCTCCAAGCTAACGTGGGCAACTCCTGGTGATAGGAAAAGGGTGGGGGAGGTGATTTGGAACAAGGGGAATGAAAGGAGGAGCGGAAAAAAGCTACCTTTTCAACAAGAAAGGAAGGGGGGGGCACGCAGAGAGCCAGCATGTAGGCAAACCAGCTGGAGATTGACTAAGTGGTTTCCTGCTTACAAATAAGCAGGATTGGAAGGACAAATGACCTATTGTAGCCCACCAGGGGCAGGGCTGGATTGGGAAGAAGGGCTGGTGTTGGGGCAGCACTGAGTAGGCGGGCGGAAAGAATGTAAACTCTCAGTACCCAGCCAATCAGGGGAAAGGAGGAGGGAACAAGCGGCTGGTCACAGGGTTCAAAAGGGATGTGTGAAGATGTGCTCAGGGGAACAGAACAATGGAAAGGGAAGCCATTCCTTTCTGTTCCCTTTATTGCAATAAAGTTCTAAAAAGAAGTCTGCCTGCCTGAGATATTTTTCTTTTCCGGCGGAAAGGAAAGAGCGTTATTTAACACTGGTATGGAGGTGCAATAGTGGGTGTCGGAGCTGGTGCTCTCCAAGACCAGTCCTGGCAGGCACTTCTCTCCACCCTTCTGCAGTGCTGGCTAGCTGGCTGGCATCACTCCTTCTCCGAGGCCAAAGCAGCCATGCCTGGCTGATTGCCTGAAGTGTGTGAAGCTGCAGCCACTGGCTGGTTGCTGCCTGTGGCTTGAAATGGCACAGGGGTGGGTGGGGCTGCTGGCTTACATCAGCTGACTTGCCTGAGACTGGACTGTCTGAAGACTATTGATGCAGTGGGAGGACCATGCCCAGGTGCCCCCTGCCACACACAGCAGTGAGATTTGAGGGAGTGCCTACGTGGAAACACTATACCAAGCTGAGGAAAGTTCCAAAACCACAAGGAGACAGAAGGACTGTGGAACTTGTGGAGGACCTGAAGTTCCTGCTCAAATGCCAACCCTGCAAGGGAGGACCAGCGGCATAACAGACCAGGATGAGAAAAAGCTGACATCAGGGTCAGCCAAGGGCCTGCAACTGGAGGGGGCAAGGGAGAAGAGCCCTGAAGAAAAGCAGCCTATCGGGAACCAGGATTGGGTCCTGGCTTGAAGACTTAAAGCAAAGAGACTTGCATTTGCCTAACGCTAAGTAGCCTAGATAATAATGCTGAAGGGAAGAGGGGGAGTTTCTTGAAGTTGCTACTCTGGCTGTCTCTGTGTACTTCTGTTAATTTTGTTCCTCCCTTCTACACCATATGTCCTTGTAGAAAGAAAACAGTGGACTTCCTCATTTCTAAGTTTTCAGTTTTAGAATACTGGCTTGGTGTGCAATAGAATGCTTCTGCTTTAGTAGCGCTGGTGAAAACACAGCATGGATTTCTTGCACCTGGAAATGTCACATGTCTAGATCTTGACTAAAGACCAGGTAAAACTGACAAGCAAATTGCAGAAAGGCAGACACTGCCATCCCAGATCAGCCAAAGGAGAGTAAGAAAGGAAGAATGCATATTTGACTTTTAAAAGATTCCACAGGTCCCTAAGGAAAACAATCTCCATGTGAAGCCACTACAGGTAAGGACCACTGAGGTACACTACTAGTTGGGAGGGTGGTGGTAGACTAGCAACATCTCCACAGCACCCAAGAGAGCAACAGCCAATTGGCACAAGCTGGAATAGACTCCCTGTGTATGAGTGAAAGAGTTTGGTGTGATGGCTAGCATGTGGCTTTGTCTTTGCTAAGCTGGAAAGGCCCTGGACTGCAGCTAGATGGGTAACTACATGCGGCTGCCTACTGTTATGCATTATTTACACAAATGAGGCTGGTCAGTGCCATCTGGTACAACCTGGAATGCACACTATGGATGCAAGAGAACTTGGTGCTGCCCAAAAGATGGAAGTCAGCAAATATGCCTAGCTCAATGGCCCACATTGGAAATAATTGGCAAATATAAAACTCCACAGGAAAAATCCTCTACAGGAATCTCTGGACTCAGCTTCACACCACAGGTTTGCCTTCCAAACATGGAAACCATACCCAGGACCTATTGGGTTAGTACCCAGGAGTTTTTCATGGTTTTCCCTACAGAAGGACAGGGCATTGGATACACTGTCTCCAACCTTCAAATTACTGGAGAACTCCAAGGGTGCTTGCCCAAACTGCAGAGAACTTGCCCAAACTGTTCAAGCATTGGTGGAAGACATTGCCAAAGTAAGGTAGGCTACTCATTTCTCTATGCCATTCTTCCACCAGTTGGGGTTTTCTCAAATCACCATGACATTAGAGTGCTAGCCTCTGCATTCTCTGTGTTTCTAGTGAAACGGCTGATGGTATTTCAGACATACAATGAAAGTTAGCTCAACTTCGGCAACTTGCCATACAAAGTTGCTAGACACTACATTGTTAGCAAGCCAGGACAGGGTTTGCAACACTTGTAGAAGACAAAACTGTTTATTTAGAGCAGGGGTCCTCAAACTTTTTCAACACAGGGCCAATTGAAAGGTGGCAGCCATGGGCGCAGGCTGGTGAGGCAGGGGTGCCCACGGGCACGGGCCAGTGAGGCGGTGGTGCCTGTGGGCGAGGGCCAGTGAGGCGGCAGCCACGGGCATGTGTGAGGGGGAGGTGGGTGCACGGGGCAGCAGCTTGCTCGCTCAGAGATCTCTGAGCGAGTCCAAAACCATCTCCGAGTGAGCAAACTGCCACCTCGCCACCCACACGGTGAGGTGGGCGGCAGCAGCAGATGCGGGGAGTCCAAAACCTTTGAGGCAGGCTGGATAAATGGGCATGGCGGGCCACATCCGGCCCACAATTTGAGGACCTATGCTTTGGAGCATCACATTCAAAAGCTCAATGCTTTACTACCTGCTTTAAATTCCATTTTGGTAAAAGTGTCTTGGGAGGATTGTTTTCTTGGTTCTCCAACTGAGGCTGGCTACAAAAACTTGAAACTTTATTTTTTTGTGCTTCTTCCTCCTTATTTTGCTTGTTGTTGCTGATTTCTCAGACATGCACATGGTAGGCATGTCATGAGCAGAGCCAGGGGTCAGACTGGATGACCCAGGAGGCCATTTCTGACTCACTCTGTTTCTATGCTTCCATTTTTCTCTATTCAAATGGCCCTCACCTGCACCAGCAGTCTGCACCTTCAAGGCATGGCTGCGAAGGCTTAGTAACCTATCTCCCTAATCAAGAGGAATCTGTCTTTTAATAAGATTCCTTTGAAGGGGGGAAACTGTTAACAAGAACGTCCCCTTTCACTCCATCGTGTTTCTGACGTTGGGTATATAATGTATGTTCTCTGTACCTCTTAGGAGACTTTGATTTGGGAAGTATCTCCTCTCTGTCTCCCTTTATTCTATAGTGCACTAGAATAAAGCTGGTTTTGGCTCTAAGTCTTGTCTCAAGCTCTGTTTGGCTTGGGGTCTGGAGTCCACCCGGGTTGTCCCTAGCTGTTGACCAGCTGAATTCAGTAACAATAGTATTTCAGGTGTACAGAAATAGCCTTAGTTAAATCATCTGATTTAAATCATCTGTACATGAGCATATGCATAGTTCACAGTAATTTCAAGGCAGTTTACAAACTTTAAAAATACAAATAAACTAACAGAACTAAAATAAGCAACAGATCAAAACACAATTAATAGTTAATCGACTTTCACAAAATGACTACCGTGGTGGACATAGCTGGGCACAAAGCACTGAAGACAAACTTGTGAGACTAAAATGAAATCAGCTTGCCTAAAAGGCTAAGGAACAAAGCAGGAATGGGGACTGAATACCAAAACAGAAACTCCTCCTTTTGAACCTACAGTTTTTGATCCAATTCTTACTTCACAGGAATTAAATTGCTAAAAGATTTTGCATGTCTTGCCTCACCCATAAAGGAGACTGCAGCCAAGAAATTAGAAGCCTGACACCTGGAGTGGCAGCAGTGACGGAACTAGAAAAAAATCATCAAGTGTAAGGTCATTTCAGTGGAAACCAAGGCCAAGATATTCCACACTACTGTATTCCTGATTACTATAACCAGATGTGAAAGCTGGACACTAAAGAAAGCTGACAGGATGAAAATTGATGGGTTCAAAACATGGTGCTGGAAGAAAGCACCAAATGTGCCCTTGGTCAAATAAAACCATAAAATTATCTGGAAGCACAAGTAACAAAACTGAAGCTGTTGTATTTTGGGCACATCATGAGAAGGCAGGACTCAATGGAGAAGAAAATAATTCAAGAGAAAGTCAAAAGCAAAAGGAGAAAAGGAAAGCACACCTTTTCATCATTAGCATTTGAATAAAGGTCAGCCCCTCAACAGCTAATCTACAACTTGCCATTTTTCTTTCTCTTAGAGATACAGCTCTCACATACCTTGAACTAAGTCTGAACCACAAGTATGGGAAGGATGCAACTGCACAAGAACACTCTCAGGTCTAGTGATGGCACAAAAATCCATTATGATAGAAAGAGAAGAGGCCCTGAACTACAAACAACTCCCCTGCCCTGCTCCCCACACAGCATCCCAAGTTTCCAAATAAAAAAAAAGCAATGGCCCCTAAATGGAATGCTTTTATTTCAGTCCTAACTGGGCAATTCATTTCCCTAGCTTATGTGTGACTTTAATACTATGTTCATGTGTACAGCACTAACAGTGTACTTAGCCTACCCAAAAATACTATGTGTTTTCTGGGCAGCTTCCAGCATAATGAGGGCAGAATTCAACAGGCAAAGAGCAGAGGGGAAGGGCAATGCAGGTGTAACAATGGCTGACTAAACAGATGCAGTTATCATAACTCTATTGCACTTTGGAATGAAGATGGATAAGAAAGAGGTCTTGACCAAAGGAGTCATGGATTAGTTTTCTAGTTA